GAGATTAGGATAAAATGGAATCGGTTGTCTGGATGATTCCTAATTAAAAAATAAATAAATAATGGCCAAAAACCATTGAATTGGTCAACAGGCTGATGGTTCGACCGCTCGGGTCAATGGATCATTGACTGATTCAACGGTTTTTTGCCAAGGACTGGGTCAATGGATCAACGAGTCGATAGTTCCATTCCAGCCCTACGAAGCAGGGCCCCTCCACTAGTGTGATATTATACTAAAACAACTCATTCTAGCAATTCAAATAGAAACGCTTCATTGGAGGACTGCAATTTCCAAATACTAGCCCAAATCCATCCCTGAACAAGGTATTCATGGTTTTTCTCATTGTTTAGAAATCTGAGCAGGATTCCGGCCAATCAGATCGATTAAACCATGACCCAAGACATTGATCGGTTTGGTCATATGATGCAACTTGTAAATCATGAAAAATTAACCGAAACCAACTAGCCAACTAGTTTAGTCTAAAAACCAATAAACCAGTCCCGATTTTATAAAACCATCTAGTCACCAAATGACTAGAAGTTTCAAAACGTCAATGGCAAGACTTAAACCATAACCTTTTAATTGTGTATATTATCTTGTTATCACTAATCCATGTATTTATACCTCTTTAATGTATATATTACTTTAATAAACATGTTTTTTAAAGAAAATGTGACTAAAGGGACTTGACCCCTAATATCTGTAAAATATGTTAAATATAATATTAACCCGCAATATATATATATATATATATATATATATATATTTATGTCATGTCATCACAATTTTGAAATTCCGACCTGTGAGCCTCTCTTATTTTTTCAATTCTATGCCCAGTCCAGTTCTTTGAACATTACTTTTACTTTTTACTTGATCTAGATAACTAGGGGTGGCAACGAGATCGAGCTTGACTCGGCTCAGTTTCAGTCAAGCTCGAGCTCGAGCTCGAGCCCAATATAGTGGCTCGATTATTAAATGAGCCGAGCTCGAGCCTATTAGAGCTCGACTCGTAAGGCTCGCGAGCCAGTTTGAATATATATTTATATATAATAAAATTATAGAAAATAATATATATAATAAAAATATTATAATTCTTAATTTTTTAAATATAAAATAAAATATATATATGATTTTTATTTTTATAAAATATTTTTTCTAAATATTTTTATAAAATATAAAACGAGTCGAACCGAGCCGAGCTTGAGCTTATGAACTTTTGACTCGAGCTCAAGGTTTTAGCTCGAACCGAGCTCGAGCTCGAGCTCGAGCCTTGTAGAATAGTCTCAAGCCGAGCTCGAGCCTAGTACTATTTGGCTCGGCTCGGCTCGAATCCACCCCTATAGATAACTATGGTTGAAATAACCTGAATGGTTTTTATCCTTGTAATTACTGTACTAGGCTTGTATACACGCTTAGCAATTCAAAGAAGACAAATTCACCACTCAGCAGGTAAAGTAATAAGATTAATTGGACCAAAATTCAGCTTCAAAAATGAAATCAACCATATATTTGCATGTTTTCATTTGGGCATTGGAGTAGCTTGCATAGCTTGAATCTTCTAAGTGCTATGGCTTTGATTCATATTCCCCAAAAAGTGGATCATGCTCTAATTGCTCCAAATAAATCAAATGCACACATTAAGATACAAAGGTTTTTTATTCCACAACAAATGAAGTCACTTTTTCACTCTTTCCTATATTAGGGGATTTACTTGGAAAAGAAAATGTTCCATAGGCTGTGTTTGGAAACGATGCAAATAAGTGTGAATGTAAATATGTAGTGTAAAATGGTCCATATAAATTGCAAAGTTGGGTTAGTTTTGCACTGACAAATTTACCTTTTTACCAAACATATTTTTAGCAGTAATGGATGCAAACATGAATTTCAATAAAACATATGCCTTTTTTTTATCAAAAGCCCACTTGAATGCAAATTTACTTCTTTTTTATTGATGTACTTTTACATCTTATTATCAACGTAAATATGCATTGGAAAATATGTTTTCTGTCATTTGTCAATGCATAAATGTAATGTTGCCAAACATAGGCAAAAGTGAACCAAAGTGCAAATTTACCCTGAACTGGGATTTACACTCCATTTGCATTGTTTCCAAAAGCAGTCATACTAAGACTCAAATCCATACCCTAATCATAGGTTCCAATGCATGAGATCTTGTATCACATACCAATGAGGCCCTATCACAAGATGAGTTTTTTCCATAGATACCAAATTAGGAGACATCAAATAAAACTTACAAGGTTCAAAGTATCAGAAACACGAGGTGTATCGGAAAAACAATTTTAAGAGACGTATCGGGATACACTTTGGATATGTATGGATACGGACAAAAGATCAAGATACACATAAATATGGTAAAAAATTCAAATAAATCTTAAAAAAATATATTACTAACTATATCGACAAATTTTATATGATTGTAAATAAGTCATTTAAATGTAAAAAACCATAATTTAATGGTTTATATAAAGTGTGACATATCGGGACACAATTAGTAATAGTTGAAAAAATGATGGAATAACTAAAATGTAAATGTCAATTTTCAAAAACCAATATAATTAATCTTAATATTTATTAGTATATAAATTTTAATAATTAATTCTAGCATTTATTAATAAAAACTTGTCACTCATTAAGAAAGTGAAAATTTATGTAAAACTAAAAATACGGGCTCGTATCGGCCGATACATACGAAAAGAAACATAACGTATGATTTATACACGTTCTGCGTATCAGATTCTTATTGAAACAATACATATCGACCGATACAAACAGATACGTTGCAATATTGTGAACCTTAAAATCTTAGGCTCCGTTCACTTTTCGGTAAGTTACTTGTACGGATAAATGCACTTACCCAGGTAAGTATTTCTGGTAATAATTACTTGGGTAAGTAAATTTACCCATATTCTTCTATTTCCTATGTAAATAAGATAATAACAATTTTAGCGATAAAAATCATTGTTAAAAGGGGCAATTTTGTCCCATCCAAGTGTTGATTCGCCCATAAACCCCACATAAATCTGAAAAAAGAACACGAATTCTTGATTCAATTGAAACCAAAATCCCATTGAGCAACTCAACACCCCCCCCCCC